TATTGCAGTCGCACTACATCTTATCCGGGCGCGATACGTTCCCTATACCTGTAATCCGAAAAGTAGGCATCAAGGGATCGCTTAAGTCCCGACAGCGATTTTGTCTCGACTAACGTCCCCGGCAATTTGTTCTAATATTTCACCAATGGAACAATGGTTTTATAAGGGTAAAAAGCTAATGCTTAACAGGTCCCGTAGGATGGTCATGATGAAACTTCAAAATATAGCTCAAGTATTGGCAACATTGGATTTATACCAGTGAACTCACTGAAGTATACGTAGTATAGACTGTAAATTCAAGGTAACTCCATGAGAAATGACGGCAAATTAGGTGTTGGTAAAAATCGTGTCTCCTTCTGGTGTACACAAACAGGAGGTGAAAAACGTGGAACGAAATCTAGGCTTTGACCGCCAGTGAAAACTCTTACAGACACTTGTGTTTATCCATGGGTAATGGGTCATGCAAGAGGGTGCAGCGAAATAAGTGCGCGGTCAATTCGGGCTTTGAACTCTTTCAGCGTGGCAGCACACATGACAGATTCGCGAAGGGCATTTCACGTTCGCCAAACGCGTACGGAAAAGAAATTTCAACGGCATTCCAAGCGACTGTACTAGTCTGCAGGTTTGAGATGGTGGCCTCTCAAATTGCTGTTGCGACTGAGCTTTAGAAAGTAGCGGCACGTGTGGCTGGGATCTCACAAAATTTGGTACGTCAAAATGAGGTCCCCGCGCAATCGCCAATACTGTTCGCTGAAGACCCCGAGCAATTGAACCCTTCGTTTATACGACAAATTATACAGACCCTTGACTCCAAGGCGGTGAGATCTCTCCTTAGCCATGACTGCCAGACCTGTATTGCGTATTCCACATGTGGCCGTATGTATGGGCCGAGAAGCTGTGGAAAAATCGAAGGGTCGAATCATCCGAATGCATGCTTCAGGAGGTCCCTTCTTGACGCCAGTTCAGCCTGATTCGAACATCTAAGATCGAGCTGGAGCAAAACTCCCAGATTCTTCTCCTCAGACGTTTGAAACTCCTGGTTGCCGAGTTTGTAGAAGTACACCAACTTGTGCCGGAATTCCACATTTGTCCACATTGAATGGAAGTAGATTCTGGATTAACCACGAGTATGCCCTATCCAGATCAGTTTGAAGTACTGTGATATCATCTGGTGTATTGATCACCCTCCACACCTTGATGTCATCGGCATAGAGAAGGCAGTTTGAGCTTATGAGACCTGTGATATCGTTAATATACGTCAAAAATAATCGCAGTCCTAGTACCACTCGACGTTCAAAGTGTAGAGGGTGGGCGATACGCTTTAAATCCGGTGCCACCAGTTTGTACCGGTGTGTGTGTGTGCTGCCTGGTACACGAACGTGCAGCAGTGGCCTCAACATATAGAAGTGGAACAGGTGAACTATCCGGTGGGCCATAATAAGATCAACTCGAAACTGATGAGATGACAGTGTATAAAGCCTTAGTCTCCGACATCGGTCCTCGTACGACATACCTCGTAAGCGGGGGATGAGCCGAGTAGCTACATGCTGGACCCGTTCCAGTCACTGCACTCACCTATTGTGACCGGACAATAGGCGGATGAGGCGTACTAAAGCACCGGCCTTTTCATTGCAGAGAACAGACGGATGGAAATCTCTTTGGACCAAGTGTCCAAAGCAGGCGTAGTCCGTTTGCGTACAGTCTGTTCATGTTGTCGACAGACTTCAGATCACAGAGTGAGAGTACACCAATATCCTTAACGGGATTGGTGGGATACAGCGGGTTGCCGGCCAGGATGTATACCCGCCTATTACCACCCCTCCCCAGGCCCATATAAACGAGGAATTGGCTGGGTTAATCGGTAGGTTAACTTTTGCAGATCACCGGGATAGGCGGTCGAGGTCCTGCTGAAGGAGGCCACAGTCGTCGGGAGGATCAAGAACCCTCCAAATCTTTACGTCGTCTGTTGTGCGCAACGCGACCGAAAAAGCTGAGGCAATTCATTTAGGTGGATCAAGAATAAAATTGGACCTAACACTGTGCCTTGGGGTACACAGATAGTGGAGGGGTATCAGTCCGTGGTTGGTCAATTCATTGATCCTGGCAGATGCATCAGCAACGATGGGCGCACAGAATCTAACGTCAGCTCACGCATTGCAAAAGCCAGAACTGCCGTCTTGAACCTGAGGCATCTTTGGCGACAGAAGGGTGTCTCCCTCCGTCTGAAAGTCCTTGTATACAAGGCCACAGTGAGGGCCGTTCTGCTCTATGGCAGTGAGACTTGCCCCTTCGGTCTGAAGATCTGAGGCGCCTTCGAGTCTTTGATCATCGTTGTCTGCGAAGTATTGCTGGTGTCGGATGGCACCAGCGTGTCCGCAACGATGATGTGAGTAGGCGAGTACTAAGTAGTGATAATCATGCTAACTCCCTAGAACAACAAATATCACTGAATAAGTTGCGTTGGCCGGGGCACGTGCTACGTATGCCTGGTCACCGCTTACATAAGAGGGCGTTGTTTAGTTTGACAAGTGTAGGGTGGCGCAAGGCTCGAGGTGGACAGAAGTTGACTTGGTAGCGGGAAATGAAGTCACTGACGATCAAACTGGGTGCCGTTGGTCCGGCTCGCCTTCCGGGCTGGAGTCCACGTGACTCGTTTTGTGCTTGGCTCAAGAATTTACAGCAAATGGCTCGCAACCGACACCAGTAGCGTGTATGCTGCGGTCTCCTAGTCGGATTGCCTGTTTAAAGTGTGTTTAGTGCTGAGTAATCTGCGGGGTAATGGCTGATTATGATGTGGGGCAGTGAAAGCCGCAAAGAAGTTGTCTAGCCGATGTCGCCTTAGCTATGTACGATAGGCAGTTGTTTGTGACAGTATGTTGTTAACACAAGGTGTAGGCGCCTTGACGCTGAATGTTTGCTTAGGGCATTAAGCTTTTCATGTCAGTTCCCTTCTCTCCCTCTTCTTATTATTTATTTCATAGGTCCTCATAGTTGTCTGACAGCGAAGCATCAGTTCAAATAGCTGATGTACTGCTGTTGATGATGAAGCAGGAAGCACTGTCTACCCTATTTCTGCTAGTTCGACTCAATTCGGTTTAGCTGAACAACTATGATCCGGGCAATGAAGTGCTGTGGATCTAGTTGCTCCGACTCACGTTGCCCGAATAACTGAGAAACAATGGTAAGAGAGTGAGATTGAATGCGAATAGAATACAACGAAAACTGAATCAAGAAAGAAGTACTCAACACTAAACGGGGTGGAAAACCAGCGCCCATTTGCAAGAAACTGAATGCAGGAGCGCCACTGACTGCTCAACTGCGCCATGCCTGGTAGAGTCATTAAATGATGATATGGATCATCCAGTGACCCGCATCTAGGAAAGCTACCTGCACCAGCCTGACCAAGTCCCTCAGTCAGTTTCGTCATGCTCTTTTGCCACGGTTTCGCCCAACTTTGTGAGGCGAAAGGGGGATAACGCACGCCGACGAAGGCGGTCAACGGACACATGGAGAACATAACCCAGCCAACGTAAGTGGTTGAGCTTAGACAAATACCAAAAGACTTAATGCTAAAAACCACCTTGCGGCCCTCAACATTGCTCATCCGGCGTTCCCACCAAAGATAAGCAATACACCGCAAGCACCGGTGGTCAGAGACGGCCAAGCGTCCAATGTCTTCGGCACGAACTAGTCAGGTCTATGATCCACACAATAACAGCGGCCTTATCGAAGTGCTATACATCCTACATTCCCACCGTCTCCGTAGATTGTTGAGCCTCTGAAATTACATGCGGGCCTCAGAGAGGTGAAAAGAGAACAGGTATCTAAGTGAACCGATCCACCAATTCTAGTGGCTGCACGTTGATAGCACCAATAGTTTGCACATTGAAGGCGCAAAGCATATGTCAAAGCGTGCAGCGCTACGTGTCAGACCCAAGGAGATCTGGGTGTCGCTCACAGTACGCTGACACACTGTACCGACGCTTGTCTGCCACACGACTACCAATGGTCGCGTGTGGGGGCTGGGTATACTGCAAAGTCACCACCGCACATGCGTAGACCCGAACAGGTGACCATTGGGGGCTACAAAAGAGACGCCTTATACTAATCGGTTAACGGCTAAAGAGTGGTGAAGGAAAGTAGGAGAGTTTTTTAAGGCTGTTTGGTGGTAAGTACATTGCATGAATAAGGTAACGGCTTTGCTGAATTCTGTTAACAGTCAGCTTTGAGAAGGATAGGGAGAAAGTCAGTGTAGTTCAGTGTTGTCGCATTCACTTGGGCCCGCGGTGTATCTGCCACCGTCTACGTCTGTCATATAACAGCGTTGAGTCAATATGCCCTTGATTTCCTGTCAATGTGGTGCATATTTTGCTCAATCGCTCTTCTTTGCAGTCGATGAAGAAGATGCCGTGCAAACATATACGGAAGAATAATCCATAGCCGACTAAGTTGGCGACCGGGTTTTCAAGATTAACCAACAGAACATCTGCTGACGCCAAGTGAAATAGACTACACAGCGCGCATTCGTTGACTACGGCCTTGAGGAGGAAGATTGAGATTCATGTTGCTCATGTTATCAGGTCAACTTGTCAGACGATGGATCAGTAAAACGCTTGAGTTTGTTTTACTCTATGAATATCAAACACTCCATTTAACAAGTTAACATTCTGTGTTTGCTGGAAATGTTAAAGAAAGCCAAGTTAGGAAATCTACACATAGACCCAAGAGACCCCTACGGAAGAATTTGATACACTGTGCATTACTCAGACTTCGGGGACTTGTTCTATCCACACATTCTGCGGTAACGTGAGTTGGTTAGATGGCTGGCAAGCATATTGAAGGATACCCTCGGATTCACAGGATAGCGTCTCATCACTAGTGAATGAGCATCTGATGGAAGTTACTTATAACGATGCGAATGAAAATGCGATATGGTTGAGACTAATGAGGAATTTCGGAGTTAGGCTACATTTTTAGCGCGTCGAACAAGAAATACCTACCACTGACAATGTGGATAGGCCAGTTGGATTGTTTGAGGGGGTCGAGATTGGAACGGCACTGGCGCTTGCTTGAGACTGACCAGTGAAAAAAGCGGACGGTAATGGGAATCTACTGGCCCATTCAGAAAGGAGAAAGTCTGTTCGCTGCACTTGGAAGAGGCTGGTGGGTGTAGAATGGTCTGTCTTAGAGGAAGCACCCGTCTGCGCAGAATGCGTTTTACGTGACATGCTTCCAATCTCCGTATTTACGTTCAAGCCAAGCAGGGTGTTCGGATCGTCCCACGAGTACGAACCATCGGATGGATGATATCGAGCACATGGAGCCAGAGTCTAGAAAGGGTCAGAAGAGGAGCAGTTATGATGGCAAATTTACGTATGAAGGAAGAAGAGTGGGTATCCACAAGTGAATTACCACACACAAATGTCAGCAGCGAAAGTAATGCCGACAGAAATTAAAAGATAATTAGGATCTAAGAAATTAGATTGGTTAAACGTGGCTAGAAAGCCGATATTCTAGTGCTTGATCACTCTTTATCGATTTTCCCAGTTACCTCCTAGACGGCCGCATTTATGTGTGGATGAAGACAACGAGATTATAGCCAAAGATGGAAACGCTGTGACATTTTGGGGGTGACTCCGTTCATGAGAAGATGATCAAAATGACGGTAGAGAAGATGAGGCCAGTTAGATGCGTGCGTTTGATTTCATTTTGTTCACCGGTAACTAGAAATTGTGTACCCGAACGAATAATCTAAATGTGTGCACTTACCAAGCTTCTTGCAATGTGCAGGTATTGAAATGCAGTAGATAGCAACAACAAATCGCAGGAAGACAAAACTTTAGCAGTCTTAATAAACAAGATGAACATAACTGCGTGGAATCAGGTGTCCTAAGCTACTGCGCTAACTTGACAACAAGTGTTCACAAGAGCACGATTTATGACAGAGGGTAGGAAACTAAACAACTAATGATCAACGAGATAGAATCCCCTATAGGTGAAAAACTTGCTATCAGTAATCCATCCATCAGTCCCCAATTCTAGAGCAATGCCCAAAACTGAACATGTGCGACAAGAAGGCTGAATGAGAAAACAAGCTCGTATCAGAGTAACAGACAGGATCATGTGGACAAGTAAAAGGACATCGATGGAATAGGATCGGTGGAAAGACTGTGGGGTTGTGTGTATGCACTATATAAGCAAGTGCTCTGAACCGGAAACTGTCGGAGTGCATGAGAAAGTGAAAACAGTGGAAGAAATCAGTTCTTGAAACTGAGTCATCAATTAAAGTATAGCAAGTGTTCCAATCTAGCGTATGAATAGCATGAATACCAGATTCCACAAGTGCGTGCTTAGCAACAAATTCTATGGTATCCTTCTTAATTGTATGTGGATACGAAGCAAGTACACTGCCAGTAGAAGAGAGTGTACGGCTTAGGCAGGCTTGTGGTGGCTAGATTCTGACATATCGTCGACCCGCTACTTCTGATGCCGTGCCGTGGACTCATGTCCTGGACGCATCGTCGTGAGGAACGCTGACTGGGTGTTAAGTTACCTCACTCTTCTAGCTAAGAGCCAGGACAAACAATTCGGCATGAGTCGGGTCACAGACTCATGGTACCCAGCCCGCAGACTTTCGAGTGCATATTTCATCGAAGGCTTTGATTGAGAATCCGAGTCGTTCTCCTAATAGGTGTGGACAACTATAAAGGATTCCAGTACAAACCAAAAAATGTAATACCCCGATACTCATAATATTATGCTGCATCGGCCGTCGTGCAGTGGTAGGGGAGCAAAAAGGGTCGCCTTATCGGCGGCATACAACGGAGTGGATGAGCGAAATTATGCTACCGATGACGCCTCCATTCTTTCTTCTTCCTCTGCACAAAATCTCTCCGGCCCCATTTCATTAACCCTTTGCATCCTACAATCCAGGTTAACGCAGGAGTAATTGCTCAGCGCAACAGTATGCCTGAGCCCAAAGCACTCAACAGCGGGTGCTGAAATGTGCACACATTACTCGACCGGAACTCGAATTAACGCCATGAGCGATGCACTGCACTGGTCGCGATGGAACTCCCTCGCACTCAGCCTCGGCTTGTTGACCAAAGCAAGTTGCAGTCAATGGCCGAAACACAGTTGCGATAAGTGCGCGCCATTGTCCATTCATTCGAGATTAAGCCGGAATACCCTCCCTGGTTGGGCTGTCAGGGAGCTTATAAAGTCTATTTGAGCGTTCATGTCCCATGAAACATGATAAACATCAGAGCTGTTTAGACTGCGTGGTGGCGTGTTCGGGTTGAAGAATGTATGTTAGTATAAGAGGAAATGTATCAGGTTGGATCACGGGTGGAAATTAAGAACAACCGATGTTGAGCGATTCCCCATAAAAGAACCGCAGCTGATATGATTAACCAAACAGCACACACATGGTGGTTTACGGTAAGCCAATCAATTAGCAGGAATTGAACGGTACAGCTGTGAAAGATGCCCACTCCAGTTTGAAATGCGATCACGGGAGCTAAGGTCGTGTGTAATAAAGAATGAGAAAGCAAGTTAAGCGTGGGTTTCAACCCAAAAGATGAAACACATGTCAACATCAGGGGGCATCAAGTGCGCAACCTGTTGACTCGCCTGCCTCGGATACTGACATCGAACGCCACCAGAGAAGCCGGACAGAACGATCTGATCGCACGCAGCCACTAGGCACTGTAGTGACACTGGTGCAACATTCTAGTCGTCGTGATTCGCTGCCAATTAGGTGATCCTTATAATGTGGATGGGAAGGGATGTTACGGGAATATGTATGAACAAAGAAATAGGCATCAGCAGTAGTGTATTTTTGTTTGCGCGTCCAGTCATGTACAGCAGAAGGCTGAAATTAGTTAAAAAATACATGAGTGTACGTTGGCACACAAGTTCACACACAAGAACAATTAAGGTACTCAAAAAAGCCACTGGCTGGAAAACATGATCGCAACGAAATTGGAATACGACAACTGTCATTTTTGAGGAAACAAGTGCCACTGTAATTCCAAAAGTCACCGGTTAGAGTTTGCGTGGATAAGGGCAATCTCGCAGTATGTGCACAAGTAGTGGTGACAGCGTGGTAGCGAAGCGTTGGTGCGACGTAGTGCTGATGCAGAGTGAGTTTATGCTACCTTAAATTATGGAAAATTTTAGAAGGGATAGGTTTACAACCTACCCAGTGGCATGAACTTAGCTCAATCGACCAGAAAGGTACGCAAACCATGACATGCGGTTAATGTCCAGTCTCGTCATGACTGAATAACGGAAGAAATCAAGAGTCCAAAAGGATACGGAAGTAGAACAGCCTGGAAAAGTGGTCGTGAAACAAAAACCCCTCGGGATCCACGATACAAATCACGTGCTAAGGAACTAACCTGAAGTATTTTGTTTAGTCCATTAATTGTGGTCAGTAAGCGGGAATTCAACAGAGTTGCAACATCGGGGGCTTGTAGAACGGTTCCGTTTATAATGTAGAAATAGGCCAGAGGTGTCACTTGAGTGTTTGACAAGCGCTGCTGCTTACGGATAACGAACAAAATGGGTTCCTGAAAAAGAGCAAATATCCAACGGATCGATGTGGTGGGCGTTAGTGAGTTATAAACTAAGAAAAAACTGTTGTGTAGGCAAACATTGTACGCATTTCTATGACAAACTAATAAAGAGCCAGTAAGATAATGTTAACCTCGCTTTACCACTACTTGGAGCAAGAAGGATGTACCGTCAAACCAAACCTTGCCATTGTTCTACACGCCATAACTGGAGAAGAAAAGCGAAAGCGGCTCTAGCTTTGACTATACGATCTTAGACCTCAAGTATTACTGAATACTGTATCGTGGGAGCAAGTAGAAATTTGAATCTATACAACTGCATCGAAATATGATCAAAATGTCAAGGACGCAAACTACCGCATTCATGTTTTTTAAGTTCTCACGTAATATCGTTTAAAAAACCGTTGAACTCACAGTAGATAGTGACCCAAAAATGTGAGATGTCTGGGTAATCGTTCTCCGGAGCTAACATTTGAGAAATGCCCATCCAACGATCGTTTGAACTGCTTCTGAGTTCGCTCCAAGCATATGTTCCAACAAACCGTTCCAGACAATTCTCACTAGCCGTTCTACACACAGGGGATGGAGGACTCGCTTCAGATCGGGGACCACAAGCTTGCACTGGTGCCCGCGTGTGCTGCAAGACGTTCGCAAGTGGAGCAGCGGCCTTAGCATGGGGAAGTCACCTACATGTAGAATTCGGTAGGTCATGATGAGGTCGACTCGCAATCGACGATAGGCCAGGGTGTACAGTCCCAGTCATCTCGTACGAAAGCCTCGCAAACTGCGGATAAACCTGGTAGCGACATGTTGAACTCGTCCAGTCTTCTGCGCATCGCCGCGAGTGGTCGGGCAAGCCGTACTCTAGCATTGGTCTGATGATGGAGGAGAAGAGGCGAGTGTCAACCATTTCAGACCAGATGAGAAGTACATTTGAGTGCCCAGAGTATACGCAGTCCGTTAGGATATAACATGTTCGTGTTGTCAACGGACTTCAAGTCGCAACGTGAGAGTACTCCTAGGTCCTTCACGGAAAGTGTGAGATGTGGCAGTTGGCTGTCGAGAGTGTAGGTTTGGTCGTCACCACCCTTCCCCAGGCTCATGAATACCGACTTGGATGGGTTGACCAGATTTATGCAGACCACATGGAAAGGCGGTTTAGGCCTTGTTGAAGTAAGCCGCAGTCGTGGGATGTGCTTATTACGCTCCACATTTTTAAGTCGTCTGCAAATAGGGCACATGGTGACCGAAGCTGAAGTAGGTCGTTGACATGAATCAGGAGCAACGTAGGTTCCAGCACCGTACCTTGGGGTACGCCACTGGTCGGAGGACACCAGTTGGTCAGGTGACTATGGACTAGTACCCTCTACTTTCGTCCCACGAGAGTTTTGGATCCACTGGTGCAGAGATCCACCAACACCCCACATTCAACTTCGCTGAAATCGATGTAGATCACGTCGATAGACTTCTGCTGGTTTACTACTTACAACCATTTATGCCTTGTCATGAGCAGGTTGGTGATTCATGAACGACCTGGCATGAAACCGTGGAGTGCGGACGTCAGATCTTTTGACCGGAACAGGTGTGGCAAACGCTTTCTCACAATCTTCTGTGCAACCTTGGCCGAAATAGGTGTCAAACAAAAAGGCCTGTAGCTGTCTACTTTGCTTGGGTCCCCGCCTTTCGGAATCGGCCTAATCACCGAGCATTTCCAATCAATCGGCGATGAATCTTCGGACATAGACCCGTTGAACAGGTCAGTTACGGCAGGCGAGATGATGGCCGATAAGGACTAGAGAATCAGGGGACGGAGCCCGTCAGACCCAGCAGGCTTGGTGCCGTCAAGATTGTCCAGTAGCTGACACACCTCTTCCACACCACAATCCAGATTGTCGAGTTCGGTAAGGGTGGTGCACGCCGAACTCGGTACAGACTCCTGGTCATTTGCCAACACAGAAGCAGTGTGTCGCCAAGACGGACGCACGTTCAGTGCTGGAGGTTAGAGGCTGTCCGTTCTCGTTCCCTATCACTGGCAGGTTACTTGTCGGCCTCAGGCGCTGCTTCATGTACGCAAAGGTTCTCTTCGAGACGGTTTTCGCTGCGGCTGCAAGCCGCTCTTCGAAATGCCTGCGCTTGCATGTTTGCCAATTGTTGAAGACATTTCGCTGCTGTTTATAGACCTCATAGTCATCAACCGAGCCAGAGATAAGGAATTTATTCCATAGCCTGCGCCGCTGTCGAGCCAGCTTACCATATTCCTTGTAGAACCAATGTGGTTTGACTGGTTCGACTTTCCGACACTCGAGAGTCACAAATTGCTTACACAATGAATTTATTCCATTCTTTATAACTGACCAGTAAGCTTCAAATGCAGATTGCTGTAACACAAATCCACTTGGCTCGCGGCTCGTGGCAGTCGTCTTCCAGTAGTTGTAGCCTGGTCGCATTGCACGGGATTTCTGCAGCGGCAATTCCATGTTGGCAACAAGAACTGAGTGATCGCTTGCTGACAGAAGCTCCAGAATCCGAATGTCATACACAGGTTGTTCGCAGCTGGTTAACATCAAATCTCAGCATGATGGAGTTGAGCGCGGTGTTATGCGCGTCGGTTAGCAGGTGTGTTGTGCCGCTCCAGTTTCAAGTACCATATCAGCGAACTTTGCTTCGACCTCACAACAACCGATGATAAGTTCAACTTCAAGCCAGCGTAGCTGAGGACAATTGAAGTCGACTATGAGTACAAATGAGGGCGACTCATGTGATCTCAGAGATGCGGCACCCAATCCAAACGACGGCTCAGGGGAGTAAGAGAGAATGCATGCCCGAGCAGCTCTCCGCGTCCGAGGTGGATGGAGCACCGTAATTGCTCACATAGGTAATCTTCGTTTCGGTGGGCGCTCACGAATGTCCCACACAAAGAAGACCGGATGTAGAGCAAGGTGCCACCGTGGGCATGTGATAGAATATCACGGCGGGGGCACAAATAGTCACTAAGCTCAACTGCCTGGGTGAGCACATTATCGTTAAACCACCTCTCTGCGTGTCCCATTATATATGGTCGCTGGAAAGCAACGAAACGGCACAGCTCATCGCACTTGTTCATAAGACTGCAGACGTTGTTAAGGGCTACAAGTAGGCCGTAGTAAGAACTATCTGTGTGCCTGAAGAATGAGCGACCGATTTATCCGAATTCGCGTTCGATTTGTATGCAGTCGAAAATTTATAATATGTAGATTTGTTTCATTCTCACCAGTTCCCCACTTTAGCTCGATGATGGTACACTTGACGCGCTCCGGGGCAGTTGGATCGATACTCAGATGAATATTCATGCCGAGTGTTTGTCTTACTGCGCCCTTTGTGCTCGTGCAAGAGTTGGCTAGAAGAGGCCGCGTGGTGGTCAGCCGTCCACTTGGCGTCAGCATATGAAATCGTTGATCTCATATCCTGCTGCCGTTGGATTTACACGTTTGTCTGGTTGGGAACCAAAGGACGAAGAGCGTAGACGACTAGAAACAATGCAGGATATGGTGGATAGTCGAAACCGGTGGACGATTTGTGTACATACTTGTTTAGATTCAGGTGCCTAATGTTTAACATCTGAAAACGACAAAAAGATGAAAAACGCTTGCAAAAAATAACAAAAACAGTTCCTTAGTGAGTAGTAGGGGGATTTATTTGGTGCTTTGTGAAGATTCGTCGCAGCTAGACTCAGACAGACAGCTAAAACATTTCCAGGAAAGCGTAAGACGACCGTTTCTTCCTATTGGGATTCGTCAGTAGCGCGTACCCGCCAAATTCTGCCGGATTCGCACCCACGACATCCATACGAGCCAGTAATTTAAGCCACTGAGCCATGGGTGACGGCAACGAACCGCCATGACCGACGTCTAACAGAGATATAGCGCGATTCATCCAGCACTGTACTGCATGTTATGAACGTGCAGAAGACAAAGCTGGTCCCCAGGGCAAGGACTTCCGTTACAAGCCGCCGCCACTCGAGGTGGCATGCAAGTTGCTAAATCCTCTTACTACTTACTAATAATCACCTGGATTAGCGGCGACTAGCAAAGGAAGTCCTTGCACTGGGGACCAACTCTGCCATCTGCACGTTCATAACATGCAAGACAGTGGAGGATGAGCTGCGTTATATGGCGAATAGATGTTAATCATAGCGGTCCGCTGCCATCACCCATGACTCAGTGGCATAAGTCGATGGCTCATAAGAATGTCGTGGGCTCGAACCCGGCAGGATTCGGCGGGTGCGCGCTACTGACAGGTCCCAATAAGACGAAATGGCCGTCTAGCGCTTGCATGGATGTGTGGTGGCTGTCTGTCTGAGTATAGCTGCGACGAATCTTTAGAAAAAACAGCTCCGTTCTTCTTACGGCGCAATAGCTGGTGTTGCTCACCTTCAGCAAATGGGCCATTATGATGTCAAAGTCAAGTCAAAATAAAATTTATGAACTCTAATGAGGACACCTGGATGATAATATCAATGTACATTCTTGGGAAGAAAAATAGGAAATGCACAACTTTTACTTAAACAACCGCTCGCGCAGTATGTTAGTGACACTCGCCAGGTCAATAAGCAAACGTGAGAGATAAGACAAAACAGTAGTACGAAACGATGACGTGTGGGAGAATAAAAGTCTGAATTTCGAACGAGTATAAGGGAAATAGAACGTTTTAGAAAAAATATTGTGAAATAGGTGAAATCGATCAGGCATCAAGATGTCTAGAAATGATCAAATCAACTAAAGAATCCATACACAGGCCACTGCATCTAGAAATGTATCTTATAGATCGCACCAATAAGATGTAGTCTTTCTGGAGCAATCCGGGGAAAATGACAGAGCAGAATAACCAATGGGAGATAATGCAAGAGGCCACAAACCCGAATATTAAAGTGCGGGGTACTGAAAACACCTAAAGTTTGAAGGCTTATGAAGGTTTGCTGACTTTCTGAAAAGTTTTACGGACATGCGTGGACCAAGAGC